GCTGTGATTGGACAAAGCTGATCACATGATTCAGATGGGCTGTGAATGGCCCTATGTGTATCATGTGACTGCTTTGACCAGTCACAGCTTTACAACATAATTGTAGACAATGGATGGCATGACAAGAAGCCATCCATTGTATACAATTGACATGTGGTCACACAATTGACATGTGGTCACACAATTGACATGTGGTCACATGACACTGGCAGAGGTTTCCTGGTTTGTACTGGGCGAGAGCAGCTTTTTATTGTGGCCATCCTGCTTTGGTTAGGAGAGATGGGCATGTATCTTGGAAAAAAAAAATGGGGCTAGGGTCTATTTCAGGCTGGCCATTCTTCCCTCCCTGTTCTCTTAATAAGGCAAATTCCTAACCCTTTGTACTATTTCAGGAAAAGCTGCCTAAGCCTTGCACAACGCTTTCTGCTGTAACAAGCGGTTTACTACTGTATATAAAAACAGGAAAGATGAGATTCAGATAGGTCCAGGAATCCTTTGCAAGGGTAGTAAATAAAAATTTTTTTTGTATAACATTGCTTTAGCTCTTTTGCCTTTATATTCATGAATTCCAAAGATTGTTTTTTTACAGATAATGTTTTTGAAACATATTAAAACTGAATCTGTTAATTTTGGACTTGTGTTGGGTTACCTTACATGCGGCTACGTGGTATGCATAACTTCCAACTGTCCCTAATTTGGAGGAACTGTCTCTCTTTGGAGACCAAATCCCTCTGTCCTTCGTGCAGCCTCTCTTGGTCTGATGCATACATCTCTATACAAAATGTGCTATTTTTATACAAAAAGTGTTGCGCTGCACTGAATTATTTATCCAACCTCTTCATTACTGTATTTGGTATTTTGAAGAGTTAATATAAAGGAAAAATATAGGTCACAAAAGCACTTGTGTGGTTTAGCCAGTTTTTTGTGGTCAGTGTAACTGGGCCATGTCTTTTTGTGTACATAATGTATGCTAAAAGGTGTCCATCTTTATCATATCAGAAATTGGAAGCTATGGTCATGGGCTATTTGTGTATGTAGCATCTGGAAAGGGGTTCTCAGGGGGGTGTTGTCAAAGTGGAACTTTACTCAGAAAGTGAAGTCCTGCTAGTCACTTCAAGATTGCCCCTTTTGCAGGTATAGCTATGTAAAACATAATAAATAAGTGCCTATACTGTTTAATGCCTAGTATTACACTGTCTCATCCTGCTCTTCACATGCTGAGTTGCTCTCTATTTTTTGGTGCTGTGCCTAAAATGTAGAGACTGATCTGACACATGAAGATTTACTGCTGCTCATTGGCTCTGGGCTTCAGCAAAGTGGCAGCCTTCAGCAAGAAGAAACAGAAACAATGCTGGAGGCAATTTACAGCGCACACTCATTTTGGTAGCATAATTATTAATAATAATAATGTGGAATGTAATGTCCTAAAGAACATTATTTTTCATCAAACTATTATAGGTAAAGTTATACTTTAGTCTCCTTAATGGGTTCTTAATTATTTGGTTTAGTAGTGATTGATCGGCTTTCAATAAGTAAACAAGTGGTGGTCAACTTTCTTGATATGGGGGGCCTTAAGTGCAGTCTTGATATCACCAAAGGGTTACAGGTATAATTCAGTGAATACTCAGTGTCATAGACAACAAACACATAACAGAATATAGTCAAAGCATGTGGGCACAATACAAGAGCTAGTCAGAGACTCCAGAAGTGATACAAGAGATAGTTGGAGACTGCAGACAGGATACAGGAGATGATCAGAGACTATGGATATAATACAAATTATGGTCAAAGACTGCGGATATGGCACAGAAGATGGTCAGAGACTTCAGATTTGGCACAGGAGATGGTCAAAGACTGCGGACATGACACAAGAGATGGTTAGATGGTTGCAGAAATGAAGTGTCTGTCAGAGCAGAAGACTATAGGTTGCAGACTGGGGACATGCATCAAGAGACAGTCATAGATAGAACGTACAACACGAGACTGTTAGAAATCACTGCTATTATTGGGTAATAGGAAAACACAAATTAGTGTCTGCAAGGGCCCTGAGGGCAGCACAAATAGTGCCAAAGGGCTATATGTAGGCACCAGTGAGTTAAAGAATTGTCAAGCAGTATGTATGGGATGGTACAGTTCAGCAGAAACCTGAGTAGTGGGAGGCTGCCTTGTGCATTATAAAGATGACCTGACCTGACCTGACCTGCTTCAACAATGGGGCACTAGGTCTTCAACTGATGCCAATTATGGGGCACTATTTATGCCACTAATGCCAATGATGATGCATTACTCCTACTGACCACAAAGCCTAAGGTAATGTTTATGCTCATTGATGCTGGGTCAGGAACATTTTCTACCCCCACTGGCCACAATCTGGCCCCCTGAAAGTCTGAAAGAGAGTAAACTGGCCTTTTGTTTGAAAAGTTTGGAGACCTCTGGCTTAAAGGATAAGTTCACCTTTCGTAATATGTTACACCCATATTCAGGGTGTAACATGTTACGATCTGACCAATCCCCGCTCCTCGCTTTGGTAGCTAGCGGGGGATCATCTCCCCTCCTCGTTAGCTGTCAAATTAAAAAAACGTGGCCGTTCGGGGCTCTGCTCGTGTCACTCATTCACAGCATTCTGTGAATGAGAGACTATAAGTCCTGGCAGCCTTAGTGGCTGTCAGCCTGCAGTCTACAGTGAACTACCACAGCGCTGTGGAGCTCCGTGGTAGTTCATTGATTTTTCCTGTCAGTATATTTGCTTGCTCATACATCCCATACAAGCAAGCAGATATTCTGACAGATGTGTAGGAGACCTGCATGGCACCAGCGATCTGCTGATTGCTGGTGCAATGCTTTACAGGCTCCCACAGACAAAAATAATAAATGCACAATTTTTTACCTGCAATAAAATATGCATTTATTATTTTTTACGAAAAGGTGAACTTATCCTTTAAAAGAGACTGAAGGACCACAGTTGGTCAATATCTGGGAAGTCAAAGGGAATATTAGAATGATGTCAACCAGATTTTGACTTTATTTGTTGGGAATAATTAGCATTTCCCCATCCTATGAGGCCTTGAGATTAAGGTGGGTTTTTACTTGCTGTCTACAATGGGTGAGGGACTAGAGGAGAGGTAATAATGTGAGTCAGAGGCCTAGTGAGGTTTTTCCTGATGGCAGAGGAGACATTTCTGTAGGACAGTCTGGAGTATGGCATGGAAATTTGCATTGCTCATGCTTCAATGCCAATGTAAGGTGCTAGTAGCATAACTGCTGCAAAGTAAGTCTCTCCCTCTCTCTCTTAGTATTATCCACCGTAAAAACCCTCATCCCATTCTACACTTCTACTGTTATAACATCATAAGGGAAAGTGGGAACGAAGTCTGTAAGATACACTGCTTAGCTGAGCTTTGCAAATAAATGTTTTGTTGTTCCTCTTAGTATGGAGTAAATTCTGCTTGAATATTTGATTTTTTTTTTTTTTTATTTTTTACTTTTTTTTTTTTTTTTTTGTCTGTCCAGGTTCTTAGTCCTGAGTGCCTGTTCTTTTGACACTGGAGATCACCAAACATTAACTAGCCACTACTACAGAACAATCTCTCCTGTTCAGGTTTGTCTCATCCATGTCATCTGAATTTTTTGTTTTTTTTCGATCATTACGGAAGCAGTATAAAAGAAGATATACACTGTTGTGTATCAAATGGGACAAAATATCTGTGTGTGTGTGTGTGTGTGTGTGTCAGGTTACAAAGTAAAAAAAATGCTGAAGAAGCAGTTAGGATGACTTTGATAGTGTGATGCATTATTATTTTGTTGAAGGCAAACTTTTACTGAAAATCATACAGGTAACCCTATTTACCTGTAGCTGAAATACTTAAAAGTGAATTTTTGGCTTTGATTCTGCAAGGCAAAGCAACAGATTTGCTGTTATGCTTAGCAGTTCAGCAATATGCACTATTTAGGCACAGTATTGCCTAGGCACAATCAAATACCCAGAAATGTGCTATTTTTTGTGAGGAATTCCAGAATCTACATTTTGTCACGGTGCTGTTTCATGTAGTTGATCTAACAGTAGGCTGTTTGGGTCACCCTCAAAGTCTGGCTGAGAAACTCCCACGTTGTTTGCCTTGTCCCTCACTGTATAATTGATGGGGCACAAAATCTGTTGTCCACTCACTCTCGGCCCTCAGCAGCAAAGTAGAAATTTTGCTGTCATGTTCAAATGCCATGCATGCACAGCGTGCTCTCCCTTAGCTCAGTTGCTGCTGCTATAGGAGTAAGTGCACTACACATGTGCAGCATTAAAACATGGTAGTTCAATCGCTCCTGTGTTGCTGGGGGCGAGCAGCCAGTAGATTTTATGTCCTGCCAATAATCCAGGATAAGAGTGTGCAAACAATGTGGATGTTTTTCAGCCAGGCTTCAGAGGTGACCTGAATAGCCTACAAGTAAACTAACTGCACAGTGTCTTTGAATCCTTTTGAATTCCTTGTCTAAATAGCATATTGTACTCAAAAGGAGAACTTGGCCTGTCATGGTAACCATTATGATCAGGGCTGAAAGTAAGGAAAACTTTAAATTTTGAGGTGTCGCTGGAAACAAAAAAATCTTTCAGTGGAAACAATTGTTCCATTGATAATGATTTAAAAGACATTTCTGTCTATTTTGGAGAGACAGTATATCACTTCCTGCTGTATCTTGAGATAGGATATGAAGAAAAAATTCCTCAGTCAGAAACACACAGGAAAAAAAAGTTTGCAAAGGTTTTAACTATTCCCTATTCTATCCAAAATTAAAAATACAAATTTTAGATTCAGATATACTTTATAAAGATTGTGTCCCATTATTAAATGTAATTTCAAATGGTTATGTTTGGCTGGGGACAAATATTTCAGATTGATTTTTTTTAATTTACAGAATTCCTGATGTCGGCATCTAGCTCCTCAAGTTCTGTGGTTAAGGGCACTGTAGCATCGCAAGTCCCATTTGCTGATCTTTGCAGTACTTTGGAAAGAATTCAGAGGACTAAGAACCGAGCTGATAAAGTAAATATTTTTAAGCAGTTTGTTGACTCATGGAGGAAATTTCATGATGCTCTACATAAAAATGACCCCAAGGCAACAGACTCTTTCTATCCTGCAATGAGACTTATCCTGCCACAGTTGGAAAGGGAGAGAATGGCATATGGAATCAAAGAGACAATGCTTGCCAAACTATATATTAAAGTTCTGGGCTTGCCTAAAGAAGGTAAAGATGCTTTGAAACTTTTAAATTATAGAACTCCTACTGGCTCAAATTCTGATGCTGGAGATTTTGCTGCAATTGCGTACTTTGTTCTTAAGTCACGGTGTCGAAAAGATGGGAACTTGACCATACAAGATGTCAATGATCAGTTGGATGCAATAGCAAGCAACAATGCAGCTAGAAAGAAGGAACTCATAGAAAAAAGCCTTCTTCATTTGATTGCTAATACAACTGCTCTAGAACAGAAGTGGCTGATAAGAATGATTATTAAAGACATGAAACTTGGCTTTAGCCAGCAAACTGTGTTTTCCATCTTTCATCGTGATGCTGCAGAACTTCACAATGTTACCACAGATCTTGAGAAAGTGTGCGTTCAACTACATGACCCCAGTGTATGTCTCAGTGATGTTTCCATCTCCATGTTTTCTGCTTTCAAACCCATGCTTGCTGCAATTGCCAATATTCAACAAATAGAAAAACAGATGAACCACCAGAGCTTTTACATTGAAACAAAGCTTGATGGGGAGAGAATGCAGTTGCACAAAGATGGTGATGTGTACAAATATTTTTCCAGAAATGGATTTGATTACACTCAGCAGTTTGGCGCGTCTCCCCTTGAAGGCTCCTTAACACCATTTATTCATAACGTGTTTCATATGGATTTGCAAAATTGTATTTTGGATGGAGAGATGATGGCTTACAATCCAAATACGAAGACATTTATGCAAAAAGGAAACAAATTTGATATAAAGAGAATGGTTGATGATTCCGATCTCCAAACTTGTTACTGCGTGTTTGATATCTTGATATTTAATAACCAGAAATTAGCTCATGAAACACTGAGAAAAAGGTATGATATCCTTCATGAAATATTTACTCCAGTTACTGGGAGAATTCATATTGTTCAGAAAACAGATGCTAGCACCAGAAAAGAGGTTGTGGATGCACTAAATGAAGCCATTGATAATCGTGAAGAAGGTATAATGGTAAAAGACCCTATGTCCATTTATAAACCAGATAAACGTGGGGAGGGGTGGCTGAAGATTAAACCAGAATATGTTAATGGACTAATGGATGAGTTAGATCTTCTAATTGTTGGAGGTTACTGGGGCAAGGGCCAGCGAGGTGGCATGATGTCTCATTTCTTATGTGCTGTAGCTGAAACCCCAGCACCTGGAGAAAAACCATCTGTTTTTCATTCTGTTTGTCGCATAGGCTCTGGCTACACAATGAAAGAGTTGTATGATCTTGGTTTAAAGTTGGCTCCTCACTGGAAGGTTTACCGCAAGAGAGATCCTCCTTCTGATATTTTATGTGGAACTGAGAAGCCTGAGGTTTATATCCAACCTTGTAACTCTGTCATTATTCAGGTAAAGGCTGCTGAAATTGTTCCCAGTGATATGTACAAAACGAACTGTACTCTTCGTTTTCCTCGAATTGAGAAGATCAGAGAGGACAAGGAATGGTATGACTGCATGACCATTGATGACTTAGAACAATTCAGAGAAAAGGCTTCTGGAAAATTGGCTTCAAAGCACTTAGATGTAAATGATCAACCACAGGAGAAAAAGCGGAAAATTGCCCCTAAAATTAGGAAGGTCATAGGAGTGGTTTCACATCTAAAAGCACCAGATTTTTCTAACATCACAAAACAGTCTAATATGTTTGAAGATGTTGAATTTTGCATAATGAGCGGAATAGAAAAACATTCAAAGGGTGACCTGGAGAGCATGATTGCTGCATGTGGTGGTATAGTTGTCCAAAATCCTGGGCAAGATACCTATTGTGTCATTGTTGGAGACACAAATGTTCGAGTAAAGAACATAATTTTGTCAAAAAAAACATGATGTTGTTAGAGCAGCCTGGCTTCTTGAGTGTTTTGAAAGCAAAATGTTTGTTCCTTGGCAGCCTCAGCATATGATTCATATGTGTCCATCCACCAAAGAGCACTTTGCCTCTGAATATGACTGCTACGGTGACAGCTATTTCACAGATACTAATGAGAGGGAGCTGAAGGAGCTGTTTAGCAGAATGCCTGACACTAAAGAAAAAATTCCTCTGGACATGATTGCTGACTTAGAACAACGTTATTCATGGGAGGAGACTCTCCACAGTATATTTCGCCAATGTGTTGTATACAATGATATGTTTACAACTATTAGTGATCCAGACACTAAAATTCCAACTTCTAGTTTAAATATAACTGCATTACAGCTACGATTTCATGGAGCTAAAGTGGTGAATCAGCTTCAAGAAGGAGTTTCTCATGTAATTGTAAGTGATGACAAGTCTCGATTGCTAGAGATGAAAGCTCAGAGGAGAACATTTCAAAGAAAATTTAAAATTGTTTCAGTGTCATGGGTTTTAGATTCATTGAAAATGGGAAAAGTCCAGATGGAACAAAATTATTTATTGTAATGCAATTTGAGGTTTTAAAATGAAGATGTTTAATAGTGTATTCAAAATATTTTAACATATTTTTAATAATGTTTTATAATTATGTGTTAATAGTTTTGGGACATTTGGACATTTGGATTTTAGGTGAACTTGCATGAATTTATTCTTGCATACATTTATATGTAGTTTGTTTAAATTAACTATCTTTGTATCTATGTATCAAAAATGTGTTTCTGCCTTTTAAAATTACTTTTAATTGTATTTTTGTGTTTACCTTTTAACTCCTGTGTTAGAATTGTAAAATAAAAAATATATTTTTTTATTATGAATGACACACACAGCGTTTTGGGTGCTCTTTATTTACTTGATATCGTATGTAATCTCCAGCGCCTCAGGATATGCACAGCCAAAAGGGAAGCCAAGGGTACCAGGACAGCGACAACCAAAGGAAATGCTTCAGGGGTGCAGCCCTCCTCAGATGGGGAAATCACTGAATAGAGAGAAAACAGGTGGCGCACACACACCTAGTGCATTATCCAAGGTTTATTGTAGGAGTGAAAGAATAATAAAAACATACTCACAAACGAAGCATGTATCTAAAAAGCATAGAAAAATGGCAATGGCCACAACGGCAGGCAAGGTGTTCTCACTGTCAGTGCGGTCAAATGGCTGACGCATTTCAGGGACGAATCCCTTTCCTCACAGCTGATGACCAGCCTCTGATGCAGATGTGTGATGAATGGAAAGTAGGAGCCTTGCTGTTGAGGCATCAACAGCAAGGCTAGTACTTTCCATTCATCACACATCTGCATCAGAGGCTGGTCATAAGCTCTGAGGAAAGGGATTCGTCCCCGAAACGCGTCAACCATTTGACCACACTGACAGTGAGAACACCTTGCCTGCCGTTGTGGCCATTGTCATTTTTCTATGCTTTTTAGATACATGCTTCGTTTGTGAGTATGTTTTTAAATTATTCTTTCACTCCTACAATAAACCTTGGATAATGCACTAGGTGTGTGCGCTACCTGTTTTTGCTCTTTATTTACTTGTCAGTGTGTGGGATCATTAATGGTGCTGATTTTTGAAAGATAAGCACAGATTTGTTTGTTACCACTAAAAATTATTAATTCAGTTTGTTGGGGAAAAAAAAGTACAAAGCCCTATTTCTGAGTCTGCACACTTGCCATTAGGTAATAAACCTTAAAATAAACCAAGCCTTGACACCTCATCATATAGGACTTGGTTTCATTTGGTGCTTATAGCAATAACTGAATTCCATCTGTAGTATATCTAGTAGAGCAGGTTAGCCTGGTTTTTAGTTGTGGGCAGCTACTGCACATTTTCTTTTTCTGACTCTCTCAGCCCTATTGGTGCATACAAACACATAGCAGAATTGAATCCATAGTAAGTGTTTTTTTAAAAGGTAATCTGTCCTGACAGAAATTTGTGAGAAATCGTCAATATCTTTCTGAAAATTTGGTTCCTGAGCGATCATGCTAAAAACAATGGCCTGATGACTTTCTCAGTCCCCAACCTGGAACAGATATGCAGATCAATAAGTCTTAATCTGCATGTTTTTTTCCCAGATCATTGACTCAAGAAAAAAAAAAAAAAGTATGGGCAGATCAGTTTAAAGCATTAAGCATTTTCAGAAGGAGACCAAGAATGGGAGCCAAATTATTCTTCTGAACAGGGGAACATATTATCCAGAATATGCAGTCAGCCGCCTGTTACCCTCTGCCCAATAAACCCCTACATAGGGAGAGGGAAGGTGAACAAGCTGAGCCAATAAGGGCTCTTGCTTTTCATCAAATTCTATTGCTTAATTAGTTTATAAAAAATTTACAGTTTTATGGTAGCTGCACACACTTCAGTATGGTGGTACAGGGATTGTACAAGCTCTTAAAAAAAAAATTATCAAAACAATCTATTCAATTTGTATCCATTCACACAAGCCCATACATTATATTGTTGTTGGTAGATCTAAAGGTGATTGTATAGTGGCCGATGTTAGACCTGTCTGTTCTGTCTGGCAGGGATGTCTTAATTTCTTTTACACACACACACACACACACGATATAAAAAGTCTACACACCCCTGTTAAAATATCCGGTTTCTGTGGTGTAAAAAAAATTAGCCAAAGATAAATCATTTCTGTACTTTTTTCACCTTTTTATTGTAAACTGTAATACAAACTGAAAGCTTTTAGGTGGAGGGAAGTAAAAATAAAAAACTAAAATAATATGGTTGTATAAGTGTACACACCCTTAAACTAATACTTTGTTGACGCACCCTTTGAATTTATTACAGCACTCAGTATTTTTGAGTCTATCAACATGGCACATCTTGGCAATATTTGCCCACTTTTCCTTGCAAAAACACTCCAAATCTGTCAGATTGTGAGGGCATCTCCTGCACACAAACTTCTTCAGATCACCCCACAGAGGGTGTGCACACTTATGCAATCGCTTTAATTTAGTTTATGTTTAATTTCTCCCCCTAAAAGATTTGTTTTTTTTCAATTGAGTTGTACAGTTTATAGGTCACATTAAAGGTGGAAAAAAGTTCTGAAATGATTTGTCTTTGTCTCATTTTTTTACATCACAGAAACCTAACATTTTAACCACTTCCCGTCTGGCCCATGTATATAAATGGCCGGACGGGAGCAGTGCAGGAGTGGGTTGCCGTTCATAAACAGCGCCCGCCATTTTAGCCTGTGCGTGCTCCCTAGGAGCATGCGGCACTGCTGTACAGGACCTCTGTGTGAGGTCCTGATCATGTGATCACTGATTGGCCAATCAGTGATCACATGAATAGTAAACAAGATGTTCCTTATGACATCATTGCTTACTACTAGTGAAATCTGTGAATGATCACAGAGATCACATGGTACAAGGCTATTCACAACAGCCTTGTACCATGTGACAAGCTGTGACCAATCACAGCTCTCCCAAGAATGCAGCCAGAGAGAAAGAGAAATTATTGCTTTTACAGCCTTTATGTGTGTAAAAGCAATCCGTGTAAAAAAAAAAAAAAAAAAAAAAAAATCACCCCCCACAAGTAGTACAGTGTCACCATGGTGACACTGTACTGCTAGAGTGACAGTATAAAATAAAAAAATAAACATTTTGTAAAATTATAATTTTTGGTGTTAAACTAATTTGGGTTATTTTGTTTTTTACTAAAAAAACTGAATACATTTTGGTCAAGATTTATGAAGAAAGATTATTTATTTGCAAAATTTTATAAGAAAAACACTTTTTTAAAAAACATTTTGGACTTTTTAATTTATATAGCAAAACAAATAAAAATCCCAGTGGTGAATGAATACCACCAAAATAAAGTTTTATCTGTCTCAAAAAAAGCGAAAAAATTCATATGGATACAGTGTTGCATGACCGTGCACTTGTCATTCAAAGTGTGATAGCACTGAAAGCTGAAAATTGGCCTGGACAGGAAGGGGGTAAAAGTGTCTGGTCTTGAAGTGGTTAACAGGGGTGTGTAGACTTTTTATATCTACTGTAGATAGATATAAAGAAATTCAGACATCCCTGCCAGACAGCACAGGGGTGGAGACACATACACTATGAAGTTGATTTACTTCAACTGGAGAGTGAAAAATCTGATACAGCTGTGCATGTTTGCCAATCAGTTTCTAACTTCAGCTTGTCCAATTAAGCTTTGACAATAAGAGCTGTTCACACTGCGACTTCAGATACAACATGCGATTTACAAATCACACCTGAAGTGGCATCTAATGTATTTCTATGGCACTGTCTTAACAGGTGCAATTTCAAGTAGCGCAATTTGAAAAATAGTTCTTGCATTACTTTTTCACCACTTCAGTGCAATTTAACTCTCATACACTATAGGGTAAATGGCACTGAGATCTCACCTGTGTCTATATCAGCACTACTTTGAAGTCGTGCTTTAAATGGGACCAAATTGCACCACTTTGAAATCATTGTGAACCAGGGCTAAAACCTGGAAGCCGATTGACTTCTATGCAGAACTGTACCAGATTTTGCACTCTTCAATTTCATTAAATCAACCCCTTTATCTAACAATTCAGAGGCCTGCAAAACAGCTTGTCGAAGCTGGAGAAATATATATATATATATATATATATATATATGTGTGTACAATTAAAGGCTCCTGTATGCCACTAAATAAGTGTCATACTCCGTTATTATGGCAGGCACATGCCTCCTAAAGTTAAAAAAAAAAAACAACCTTTTTACCTCTTCTCGTTTGTTTCTCACATGCTTCCTCTCTGATACTACAGATCAAAGTGCAAGTGTTTCAGTAACAGGCAGTGCTGTGAGCAGAAATCAATGGAAAGGACATGGCACTGACTGAGAAGCATACAGGCTGTGGCAATGCTGAGCATTATGTCCCTTGCAACATCTTCTCATCCCACTGTACTGCATGCAAGAATGGTCTACAATACTTGAATGGCAACTCTGCTCTGAATTCAGAGCAGCGCCCGGCAGTAGATTTTTACAGTGCCCAGTGCAGCTCAACTACTGCAAAAGATAAGCGTTGTATGTAACTTCAACTGCCCGCATCTCTTGATCCACCAGTCATTTTGATTGAGGTTTTAACTATAGGTTATGTATTTTTTTCAGTATGTGCTCAATTTGAAGTGTCAAACTTTGACAGGTTTACTTTATACTGTTGAGTATGGCTATGGGTCACCCTCTGCAAAGGTGCATGATGTAGCTGTGTTCATTTTGCTCTGTACCTCTGCTTTTTTCTACTAGATTTTTCTCCCCATAGCTCAGTGATTGACTAGATTATATTAATAGAGCTCAATTTCAGCACCATCTGCTGCAGTTTTGGTCTGAGGAAAAAGATGCTTGCTGTGTGGGTCCCCCAGCATGGCAAGGCATACATGCTTATTTGTGGGAAAAGAGTAAGTGCCGGTTCATATATATGCGGATGTGGTTTGAACTGTATCCAATCCGCATGACAAGTGAAATAACATTGCTTCCTATGGTGCTTGTTCACATATGTCCGGT